TTTCGCGAACCAGGCAAGGTAGAAAGCTGAAACTTTGCAGGGATATTCTCTATGCACATGCGAGCTCAAGATTTTAAATTCAGTTGTCGAGCACCCCAACTACAGCCTCAAGCAGCTCCTCAACCCGAAAATCACTAGCAACCCGGGCTCGAACCGCAGTCGTATACATAAATGAACATTAATTAATTTGCATACATGGATTTTTTGACAAACGACCTCAGCACTTCCACTTTTTAGTGAAATGGAAACTTGCATTTTTTTTCAAAAAATTTGCATTTGTTATTTTTCCACAAAGCGAGCACTTCATGCAAAAAACCGGTAAAACAGCTGCTAAAACCGGCAAAACCAGTTTTCTATGGTAAAACAGCTGCTACCTGAGCCCCTAAGGGCGAAAGGCCCCTCGCTTCTTCCCCCCGGAAGCAATGTTTGTAAAACGCAAGGGCTATAGTAGAGGGGATAACCTTGCTTGCAGATAGGGAGGGGATTATGGGATGAGATGTAATTGTATGGATTTCTCTGTGTCCAATAAAGAACTTGACGCTGAGAGGAGCCAGCGTTCTTGAATGTACTACCTAGAACGTCCCCGAGGCTGAAAAGCAGGTACCACGAATCTCACAGCTCACATCCAGGCCAATAAAATATTGCACCACCAAGCTAATTTTCAGCAAATGCCAAATTCGCGATCTTCAAAAAGCTTACAATAAACACACAACCCCGGGGAGGCAAGCCTTTCGGGTATTTGAAGGTATCCTAGAAGTGTCAAGTACCCGGAGGAACAACACGAACAAGAGATGAGGGGGCACGTGGAGTGGAGCGACTCGCCTTAATACGAGGAGCCTCTACTTATTGCGGCGAAAAGTCAGTCCGGAACACAGGGACCGCACCCCTCCCCCCTTCTCCCCAACATAGTCACCATCAAACCCCAACCGAATCCCCCAACTCGCCTTCATTCCGCACCGACCGCACCAAACCGAATTCGACCACACGGCCCTAAAGCGTGCGCAATGCTTCACTGCACTCTGGCGGGCCGTCGTTTCACGCAGGGACTCCATTCCGCCTACTGAAGCTCAGTTTTTGTGGTTGTGTCTAAGCCTTTTTTATGCGTTTTTGTCGGGCAGCGCTAAAGCGCTGCAAATTCCCGAACTTCGAGGGCCAGTATGTCACAAGGTTAGCTACTGTGATTCCTTGCGATCTTGTTATGGCATGAAAAATGCAAATGCAAAAATATACATTATCATGAGTTTTTGTGTATATATTTACGTGTGTGTGTGTGTGTGTGCTTTTTTTGTGTATTTGTCCGGATTTTGCTACCTATTTCTTTCTTACAACCAGAAAAGCCAGGCAGTGGAAATTTTTGAAACGTTTCTCATTCCTTGTGCTATTCACTCACTTTAAACCTTTCAAGCATCATCAAGCAGGGCGCTTGAAAGAAAACGCGAAGTTCTTGGTAGAAAAGCGATTTCGGGAACCAGATAAAATATGAAACTGAGATTTTACGATATTCTCTGTCCTCGCTTGAACTAGAGATTTCAGAATCAGACATCAAGCACGCCTACGCTAAAGGTTTCAAAATCAAATATCAAGTATGCCTAAATCTTAAACGTAGACAAATTAAAGGTAAATTTAAAATACCAACTCGAGAACTAGACCGAGTACAGGAATCTCACTGAGGCCGAGTAGGGTGACCTCATTGTCCGAAGAAATTTTTTATTTATGCGCGAGAATGAAATGATTCCCGACGTATGTCCGTGTCGCGTGCTCGTGTACTTCAAACATGTTTACAATGAAATGCAATGAATTGCAGTTTTCGCAGTCTATCAAGCTGGGAAGCTCAAATTTTAAGAGGATATGCCCACATGTCACCCAAACAATTCAAATCCAGCTTCAAAGCGTGCTTAGATCACACTTACGGGCAAATAAAGCCTTAATTTGGGGCGCTGGTAGTACCCAATTAATCAGAATGAGCAAGAGCTGTATTTTTCCAGGGTTTAGAAATTCATTTGCAGGCCAATGAACATAAAATGAGGTCCACTACGCATACACCCTACATACATACATGCACATCAAATGTGCAAACTGAAACACTGCTGTCACCCTTCTTTCCGCAATCAGACAGGTAAGAATGCTAAAGTTTTTCATGTCTAGTTTTGTGGGTACAGCTTTCACGCAAGCTAACGTTTCACATGCAGACACGGCAAGTTGCAGGTCAAACCAGTAACACTTGAAAGCATTGCTACCGGATTATTTCTGGCTCGTAAGTTATGAATTTTTTGTTCAAATTTATGAGAAAGTTTAAGCAATCAGTATAGTGGAGCAAATAAAACTACTGGGCTTGGGCGGAGTAGTGTTTATGAATTTATTTGAGCGCTGCTACTCGTGGTATTGTGAAAGTGGCAGGTGACAAACCCAAGCATTAACGCAAATAATTGCCGGTACAAACATGCATTTTTCCATGATTCCTTCCTGTAAAGACATTGTTTGTGATATTGGAGTGTTGCATTTTGAACAGTTAAAGCGCCTGTTCGCAGGCTCACGCCCATACAGAAGCTCATCTTAAGCTTGGTGGCCCTCATTTGAACAGCAAGCCTCCTCAGTCTGGTTAGTAAGTTAACTGAATTAAACATTCTCCCAAGCGTGTTTAAATTTAATTTAAAATATTTGGGTCGCAAATTGGCATAGAATATTCTCGTAAGCCTTGAGATGTCCGTATGTGTGACAAAGGTGGGCGCCAGAATTGAGTTTTAAACCTTTAGGTAGCAGAAAGAAATAGAACATTCCTATGAGGTTCAAACTTCCTATTTCTCCTGGTTTCCGAAATCGCTTTCCCGCCAGCAAAACTACGTGAATTCTTTTAGGCGCCCATCATGAGATTCACAGATGTTGAATGATAATTTTAGTCACGCATGGAGTGGCCACATGCTCCAATAGTTTTAGCTTTCTAGTTTTCTCCGGTTGCTAAGTTGAATTTGAGCAACGAAATGCAGATACACAAACAAACAAATGGATAGGCAGATATATACAGACAACTTCTTACAAAAAAGCATTTTTTGCACTAGCACAAATATGCAAAAACGCATGAAAGAAAATGCCAGTGGATGAAGACTGTCCATTTGTTTGATACGTCACTAATTTATTTAGAATCTTCATACAATTTTAATGCATTTTTGCATGGAAAGACGAATAACTCTGGTTATTGGCACGCTTCTATTTTGGGGCGCATTAAATCGATGCACTGATGTGCGCAGAAGGCGGATGAACTTCGTAATATTGGTCTTTTGAATTGTCAGATGCACGAATGCACCAAAATTCAATTTCACTGCCTCCTTCATCGTAAAGCCAGGCCATCTGCGCCCAACTGGATTTTAAACCACAGTTCGTGAAACCGTAAGGGTGAGCAACACGGAATTCACGATTCTTGTCCTGTGCATTGTACCTGATGTAATGCATAAGCCGAAGCACGCACATATTGCGTTTTTTTTTTGCAAAATAAGATATCAGCGCGGACTCATATGTTACTTGTTTTTGGATGCGTGATTGTTGAAGTTGCGAGGAGCGGGAGAATCATGAGAAGAGAGTCTGAAAAGAGATCAGGATGTTCGCACAATTTCGTGAGA